TTTTATGCTGTTACGAACTAGGATTGTTCTATACCGAAAAAAATAACCAAATTTTTTTTTATTTTGAAGTCAAAAAATATTTAGCGATAGCTCAAAGCGCTCAAAGTTTTCCATGCATTTTATATGGGAAAAAAACAACTTTTCGTAGAAATGTTATGGAATTTTTGAAAATCAATATTTTTCGATCGGAAAACTCTATTCTTCTTCAGGAGACTCCCAGTAGTAATACCCAATTGTTTATTTACCCTTTTTTTTTATAGTAACTATATTTTATATGTCCGCCAAAAACCACAGAAAATGCAATGGGGGAAGCAATAAAAAATCTTTATGGGGTGAGAGCATAAAAATTCTGACATAACTTTTTTTTTTTACCACCCTAATGTGCATACACATATACAAACACCCATATATATTCGTACATATATGAATTTTCTGCGCATATGAAAATATTTCAATACTTGGCGCGATTAGCGCACACAAGGGTTAGATTTTGAGGTTCAAAGCCCCCCTAAAGTTAATAACCTCAAATACAAACTGTATCTCAAAGCTTAAAGGCTGTTTCCAGCTCTCAAGAAAAAACGAAAAATTCATATAAAATGACGCACAAGAAATGGAAAAGAAGTTGTCTTCTATCAAACTTTCTTAAATTAAGAAAATTTGCAGCAAAAGGAAAATGCTTTTTCAAGCCACAGAAGTAATGAAAAATATTTCTTGTGATTTTGTATTATTTCTGTGGCTTGAAAAAGCATTTTACTTTTGCTTTAAATTTTCTTGGTTGCGCCCCTGCTTGGCGCTATATTATTTCTTGGCGCCTACTAAGCACGCTTTGGCGGTTGCATTATGCAATTCATTAATTAATGCACTATATACATATATGTACGTACGTATGTATGAGTACGAGTGCTTTATAAAGACGTTTATGAATTTTCGTAACAAATTGTTATACGTGCCAATTAATTGACGAATTGAGAGGAATAATGACAGGCAATAAAGACAGCGGAAATGAGCAAAATTCTTAAATAATTCGATGCAGTTGAGTGCTATTCGACGTTCATAATTTTGGAAAGTATTTATGCCATTTGAATTCCAAGACATGTACGATTAATTGATTTTAAATGGGCTCAGACTAACTTGAATAGTCATGGAAGTTGTTATGATCCGCAGAAGAAAAGTACATAATTTGGCCATTAAACAAATGAGTGCAAAATTTAGAAGAAAAAAAAATATTTTTGAATATTTAATTAAAAATATCCTGGCTAAGATTTTTTCAGCCTCGCGGAATGCCAATTTATTAACAAGTGAAATTTCATACAAAATAGATTTCATCCATTAAACCAAATGGGTGAAGGTCATGCCCTATTCGGATCCTCTACTATAAACAAATACAAACAAAAACTTAAAGTAAATAAATTAAAAAAGTAAATATGCACCAATATAAATTTCTGCTGACCATGGGCCTCGGCGAAGCCACAGCTTATCAGTTCTACATTTGTATGTACAAATGTACATGTGAAAAAAATCTTTCCCTCAACTCGCGTTTTACCAGCGAAACCACAACAAAACACCTTTAACATTTCTCAAAACGCAGCTTCATTATCTGCTGCAAGCCTTTAGCGCTATTTATACCCATACATTCATATGTACTTACACTGGTGGCAGAAATAATAGACTCATTAGTACTTTTAAGAATTTTAGCTATATTTCTTTAGTTTATTTTATGTTTAATATTTTTTTATAAAAGCCTAGGTAGTTATACAACAAACATCATATAAATCCGCCATTCAAACTTTGTATGAAAATTATAAAAATTCGACAAATTTTCAAACTCTTTATTCAGAATTTTTAGAAAAATTACTGGTACGCAGTTTTGTAGCCCATTCAATTGTAGTATAATAAAGTGCAAGTTTCAATTGGCTGCAAAATACCGTTGATTTTTAAGATTTTTTTTTTTTGCTGACGGTGTCACGAATTTTTTCCCATACAAAGTGTGATCGACAATTTTTTTTTATATGGAAGAGAATGCCTAGAGCAAAAAAAATTGTCGAAAAACCAGGAATTTTTCTAAAAATTCTGAATAAAAAGTTTGAAAATTTGGTGAAAATTTGTCGAATTTTTATAATTTTTGTATAAAGTTTGAAAAGGGTATTTGTATGGTGATTATTGTATAACTAGCCAGGCTTTTATAAAAAAATATTAAATATAAAATAAACCATGGAAAAATAGCCAAAACTCTTCAAAGTAAGGCGGGTCTGTTATTTCTGCCGCCAGTGTATGTATATTTGTTTACGCCTTCATTCGGCTTTGTCTCATCAAAGCTGCAATTAAAACGAGTCGAATGGCGATTATAACAATTGAGTGGCAAATCGAGTGGAATAGAAATTAGTTTTTTTTCTCGAGATTGTTTTAATCAATTTAATCAACTTCAAATTCTGCTAACTCATTTTAGAACCCAAAATTTTCACAAGTTAATAACTTTCATTTAATTCACGCATTTAAGTTATGCAAAGTCATCATTTGATAAAGATTTTAATGAGAACGACAAATACAAAACACAAGTTTTTTGATAGCGGTGGTGATAAAAAATATTACGTGCGTTATCTTACGAGAATCTTCCTGGCTCCCTTCTTCTTTCATTTTCTATTAAATAGCAAAAAAGTCGTTTTACGAATAAACTTTTTGCCCTTGGTATTTGATAAAGAAAACTTAAATCAAATAACGGTTTATTTTGTTTTTGTAAAAAATAAACCGAAAGTGCTTAGTAAATACGTGGTCAAAGAGTCGTTGTCTGTCAGTGCAATATTGGAATACATTTCAAGGTAGGTTGGTATTGAAAACGGGCAAAATAGGACAATAACCACGCCTACCTCCCATATAACGGTAATTTTCAGAAATACGAAAACTGCGATATTTTACTAACTACTGAAGATTATTCACTCAAAATTGATATTTACAATAAATTTTAGACGAAAAATCAGAATATTATACATTTTTGGAAAATGGGCCTCGCCTACTTATGGTTACATGTGTATATCTTGGTAACCCCTGTACCAATTTCTTCCAAACTTGGCTTAGTTGTTGGACTTGGTATAAAATACGAAATTGCCGAAAATTTTTAAAATCGGACAATAACCACGCCCACATCCCATATAACGGTAATTTGGAAAAATACGAAATCTTCGATAAATCAGTAAATATTAAAGCTAATTTATTCCAAATTGATGCTTGCAACAATTCTTTACCAAGAAATACGTTTATGATAAAATTTTGGAAAATGGGCGTGGCACCGCCCACTTATGATCACATAAATGTATCTCGCTAACCGTTCTAGCAATTTGTACCAAACTCGGTATGGTTATTGTGCTTGTCACATAAAAAAGCAAAACGTTGAAAATTATTGAAATCGGACTAAAATTGAGGCCGCTTTTCATATAACGGTAAATTTCAGAAATGCTTGAAACTTCAATAATTCGAAATTTAAGGACGCTAATTTACTCAAAATTGCTACACCCCGGCTTAAAATGTATCGGTAGCTTTCGGAAAGGTGAAAATCATCTATTTAATACTTGCGCCGGGTATTTAATGTTCGGCTCCGCCCGAAATTAATCTTTCTTACTTGTTTTTGTTAAAATCTTTTTCAAATGTATGAGGGTACCTGCAAACTTTATTTTCGCGACCTGTCTAACGTACATACATATTTTTAAGAAACAAACATTATAAGTATTTTGGTATATTAAACAAAAAATCATAAAATATACGCAAATAAAAGACAAATACATATTTTCTTTTTGCATACAAAACACTTTACACCTCATTAAGAGGCCAAATTGCGCCAAGTGCTTTTTCGTTTTGCCGGCAGTTACATATGCACGTCCATATATATGTAAATATGTATTCACGCACCACACTTGCAAGCAGTGTTGCCGCGGCGTTCAGAAGAAATGTATCACCAAAATTCCCTAAAATGGATCAAAAATATGAATAAAAAAATTTAAGTATCAAAGTATCAATCTTCAATAAAACTGCTAATTCTTAAATTAAAATGGTAGTTTAAATTTTTAATTTTGATCGTTGACAGTTTTTATTAATATTTTTTGGTTTTTATATAAAATACAGAGTGAAAATAAAGCTTTTATACTCGGTAACGGTTGAATTCATTTGCATACTTAGCTAAAATCACATATCAAATTGGTGTTTAACACTTTAAAGACATAAAAGTAATTTTCACAATACTTATTGGCTTACTCTAGATACAAATTCTTAAGGCAGTGTTACACAATTGGTACATTTGTACATTTTGGCAGTTACAGAGTAGTGTTGTTGGGAAATTCTTTCATTGAGCTGAACTCACATTTCTCAAGAACACTGGGACTGCCAAAATGTACAAATCTGTACAAATGTACCAGTCGTGTGACACTGCCTTTAACCCAGTACCACATCTGACAGCTTCAACAATATTAGCCTCTTCCCGCACTCCATGATTTTTAATGAGAAATTGTTCGCAAAATATATGATAAATGTGTGAAAGGAAACGACTTCGGACTAAATCCTGGAGTACGGGAACATGCTAGTTGTGTGTAGCCAACAGTGATGTCAAAATCATAAAAGTCCTAAGATGGGAAGAGTTAACCTCGACTTGTGAATTAAAATGTATCACAATTTATACTAAGCTAAAAAAAAGTATCTTTTAAAAATTCGATGAAAAACGTATCATTTTGATCCGCTTGTATCAAAACGGCAACACTGCTTGCAAGCACAATTGTTTTGTGGCTCTTCGGCGTATGTTACTGAAGCTAGATGCTCGACCGCTACATAGACCGTGTCATTACCATTAACAGAGGTGTTTTTAATAGACGTTATTTATTTAATAAAACAAACGCATATTTATACATAACATAAATGTATGTAAGTACATATACTAATATAGATAAACGCACAAACAGATATTTAAAAACAAACAAACACACTAATAATAGTTAGGTACACTCAATAGAAGAACTTACGCGATCTAAAAGAATATCGATGGCATTCATTGCGTTTCAATTGTTGGTATTTAACTACTTATGTTTGCAAAAAGGCAAATATATTTATAGTATTGTGAAAACAATTAAACGGGCTATTGATTTTGGTATTTTATTTATTTATTTTTTTTTATTTTAAGCCGCCAAATTTACTTATGCATGCTTCTAGCTCGAACGCCAAATAATTGGGGAAGCCTATGGAAATTCGCTGCTCACTTAAAAAACTAGCAGAAATTATTATTTTAATTTACATTAATTTACTTTTAATTGTCACCGCACTTTAATGGTTTTTAAAGTTAATATATATATATATATATATTTTATTTTTTTATTGAGAAGCGCGAATTATTTGGGTGACAAACGCTTTGATGAACGATCGCGACGAGACTGTGCAATTGAAAACAACGATATTTTCAAACTTAATTTTATATTTGTGCCTTGGAGCGAACTGAACGTTGACTGGAGACGAATACGCACTCAGCCACACAATTATATGGCCATACAGACATACATACATAAATACATACATACATACATGCTGAAGAGTACATATAGCATGTGTTTTTTTTTTTTAATAGACTTACTCATTTAAGTACTGAGGGCGACTAGTAACTAACTAGCGTAAAAGCATAGGCAATCAACGAGAGATGAAGTTAATAACTAAATAACAAGTTAGTAGTTGCACCTATGTGTATGTGCATATGTAAATACATACATACATACATACATTTGATAGTGGCATGTAGAGATAGTGCTTATAGCCTGCCATTAGTTTTGTCAAAGCGATATTGGCAGTGAGGTGCGATGGAAAACATGGCAGAGAGTTTGATTGCAAATTGTTGATCAGCGGTACTGAAAGTGTCAACGATGTCAAGCGTTTCAAATACTAGCATTCTTTGTTTTGGAAGGTATTCTTATCAATTTCGTCCTGATACAAAAGTCATTTAGTAATGCATATGTATGTATGTTTGAATAATTCGAAGCAGACCCTTGGCCAGGGACTGCTACTCTAACTTTGTGCAAAAATATGTGATGTGATAGGATATATACAGCGGTAAAGATTAGTACACTTATGTAAATATGTATGTATATGTAGGTATCTATGTATTTACATATGTATAAGTATGTACATGCATGTATAAAATATGTACATCAATATCTGCATAGTTAAGTGTTCATTTTAGTAACGCAAGATAAGATAAGGCAATGAGCACAGATTGTTCTTATCAACCGTCCGCAAAAATATTAAGCTACTCAAACCATAAAAAAATATGAGAGCGAACAGAACAAGGGAACACACATTGTGCACACTTCAATGGGATTATTCCAGCCTCCCAAAAGGAGAAGCGTTCATGAAGCTGAACTCATACATGTACATTAGACTGCATCGCCAAAAAAAGTTGCGGTTTTTCCGCCGGGATTACAAAATTTATAATATTTTAAGACGTCCACTAAAATATTTCGGAAAAATATTAAGATTTACGTGAGCTGGACCGATTTGAAAATACTTACCTCCAAAAATGGATTTTTTTATGAATAAAAAAAGTTTCTTAAAGATAAAAAAATCCCCTCAAATAACAAAACAGTTTAAGCTTAAAAAGGTTGCATACGAATTTAAAAAAAAAATTTTTTAAATATTCAACGGAATCGTAATAATGAGATTTTTGATGCTGTTTTTTTAAATTTTTTCAAACATTGGCATAAGAAAAACTTTAATAACTGAAACTAAGCTATTCCGATTTAGACTTGTGAGGTATCATTTGGAAAGGTATTTTCTCACAATTTTTCCATTTTTATTTCTTTGCTAATAAACTCATTCAAGGCATGCAAGAGAAAGGTAGAATGAACATCACAGCATCAAAAATTTCATTGTTACGATTCCGTAGACAAGATTTTTAAATATTTTTTTTTTTGCAGCTTAGTCTGTTTTGTCATCTGAGGGGATTTTTTCAAAAAGTTCTTGAAGAAACTATTTTTATTCATAAAAAACTCCATTTTTAGAGGTATTTTTAAATCGGAATATTTTTCCGAAATATTTTGTAATCCTGCCGGAAAAACCGCAACTTTTTTTGGTGATGCAGTCTAATGTACATATTTATATATTTATATGTATGTATATATATATTTATATTTATTGTAAAATGTATCTTTAATTGAAATGTATTATGTACGTTAATTTAAAAATATTTTACTTGTCAGTTATTTCGACAAGTTTCCATTGGTCCTTATCGTTCTGACTCGCTCAATTTCGTTGCCGCTTATCACACACAATTTGAGCAGACGTTTTTGTTACGAGTATATTCTTAACGTCCTCACACATTTGCTTACATATTTTGATTCTTGTAATCAATTCTCAGTCGCGTCTCTTCACATTCACTCAATCGTATTTACATTTATTGTATGTACATACGTACATACATATGTATGTAAGTATATATGTAGTGCATAATATGTATTATGGAAACTTTTCGGATCTTGCTGATGATACCCTGGTCTTATTACGATGATCTTTTGATTTTGAATGACGCCAAACGCTGAGTTTTATATAAATAATCATACAAATATTAACGTGAAAATATGTATGTATGTTTGTACATACATATGTATATGTACATATAGCTTATTATAGAATTACTTTTTATATAGTTATATATTGTGTAAAAATTACATGCATAAATCTTGCATTATTTGCTATTCAGTAGCGGATATGCATGCCTATTTTCGGCATTTTGCGAGTAGTTAAATTGAGAACTTTCAACGTGTCTCTTAAAAAATAAGGTTTTTAACCGACTTCACAAAAGGAGAAATGTTATCAATTCGTGGGATTTTTCTATAATTCTTTTTTTAATGAACGATGTTACCTCACAGGTGGGAGGTTTGGTTTAAATCCGATCATCTTATCATGAAGAAATTAACGATAATCTTAAATGATTATATGAGAATTGAAGTCGGTTTTGTTGTTTGCTTAAAAATTACTTGTTATTATTTAAAAAATAATCTTTTAGTAATGATCGATGCGTACATAATATGTACACAGTAGATCGATTGAAGCATATGTATGTATGTAAACAGCTCGCTCTGTTCGAGAATAAATTAAGATTTGCCTTTTTATTGTCGTCTTCTTCCATTCAAGCATATATAAACGACTCTTAATCATATTTGTGTCCACAGGAAACATTTGGCTCTTGTTATCATACGCTTCACCTCATCCTACATCTACATATGTGAAAACATACACTGCCGGAACAAAGTATTGGCACAGCAAATTTTTCACAATTTTAATTCTAACATTTTTCCGCTAATATCGTATAAAAATATAGTTCATTCTACAACAAAAAACATAAAAATATAATTTCTAACATTTGTGCTAAACTCGCGTAAATTCAGAAAATTTTTATGAAAATTTTCAACTTTTTAATCAGATTTATTTGATTTTTTTTTGAGTATGCAGATTTTTAGCCGGCAGTGTATGTACATATATACATACAATATTGTTTGTTTATAAATAGAAATTGTATAAGAAAAGCTAAATCAAATCGTAGTTTTTTGTTGTTTAAACATTGAAAGGCATATTGTTCAGAAGCTTGTGTGTTAAAGAAGTTCCTCGCTGTTGTTAAATTTCGTTTTGATTGATTAAACTTGTAGATATGTGCATACTTACATATGTACATATACCCGCAAGTTTAAACAAAGTATTTAAGCCAGGTTTTTACATATACAATTCTATTTAGTTTACAGAATTCTACCTAAGAACGTTAAAATAGTACATAAAGATAATGTGCAAATAACAAAGTGCGTGGATGTGAAAAATACAATAGTATTATAAACAGTATATTTGCACAAATGTACTTATGTATATTGTTATTAAATATGTAAACAAAGCCTTGTCGTTAAAACAATTTCCCATGTGCGCATTATCAAACCCAAGAAAAGGAAGCATGCGGAGGGGGAAAACCAGCAGAAGGTAGGTATGCACCAAATTGGGCAGCCAGCGCGCGTTCTCTAGGTCATTCGAAGGTCGCTGTGACGACGCCAGGCGACAGTTGACAGCGGCTCATTTAAAGTGCAAATATCTAGTATATGGTAGGAGACTATCCTCTAATTTTTGCAGATACACACATGCAGGTATACATATGCTTTATTTTCAAAATTATGCTCCATTTCACATGATTAATTATCGTTTAAATGTGATCCTACGGGAGTATGTTCCCCAGAAGTGCAATCCCTGTATGCTTCTGAATTGGTTATAAGCGGATCGAAATCCCTGCAACCTATTTTATGTATGTCTCTATATACAAACACTCTCGTAATTATTATAATGCTTATATTTGGCATAATTACTCACCTTACTATCATTTGGAATATTCAACATTTTTATAAAATCCGCACGAACTCCACTGACGATTTTCGATGGGCACAATTACACACTTTTTTACAAATTTCTTTTAATAATACTTTAATCCCGTCCCTTGTTTTCTACCACTTTCTGTAGTGCAGTTTTTGTGCGAAATTTACACTGGCAACCGCGATAAACACGACCGTTGAGTATTTTGTGCAAACAATTCGAGCCAAATATTTTTCACTTTTGTTTGTCTCTTTTGTTATAACATTCCTGTACGAAATTTTTTTTTATGCTTATCAGCTGGGAAAAAGAAATGTCAACGGGCTGTCTGGAATGTCATTGGAATGCACTACCGGAAGTCATTGGAATGCACTAACGGAATTCATTGGAATGAACTACCGGAGATACAGGCTGATAGACACCGAGTAGATAGTAACCGAGTAGAAATTTTCAAGAGTTTTCACAAAGAACTTTGTGCCAAAGAAGCAAGAACGTAAATCTAATTAAAAAGAATTATTTTTCTTGTATTGATAAAACGTTTTCACTCGGAAATCTTCATAAACAATGAACCGGAAAATACACCTGTTGGTAGTTTTTGACAAATTATTTCCGTAACTGAACATACCACGCACTTGTTTACTCTTGTTCTACCTACGCCCAACCACCCCACCAACATTTTACAAAACAGCTGATCCAAAAAATTACAATTATTCTTATAATTCTCTGCAAAAATTGCTTTTAAGTGCAACACCATTCATAAATCATCAAAAATATACATAATTTGCTGAACATTGCATTAAAATGGGTTCTCTGTGTTCATCGTGTTTTGGAAGCAATGGTGAATCATCTAATTTGATGCCTTCACCGGTAAGTTCAACTCAATAAAGATTTGTTAACACCTCTATAACCCAATAACAAATAAACCAATTGCCCTCCAAAGGAAACACGTCGTCGCCAGCAGCTTGAAGCAGCGGAACGGCGTCGTGAAGAAAATGAGCGGAGAGGTATTAAAAACCCCGATAGTATTCGACGCCAACAACAGCGTACAGAGGAAATGGAACGTAGGGAAGAGGAGGCAGCACGAGTGGGTGGTGGTGCTCCGAACTTAAAGGTATATATACCTATATAAAAGCATTTGATTTTACAAAATACCATATAAAACCAATAATACATATATATTTACAGTGGCAAACCGCTTAAGGAAAACTGGATCAGAAGTTTAAAAGAGATATGTAATTTTTAAGCGTGTCATTCTAAGCATTCAAAATTATTAAAATTTCTATAAGCACGAAAAGTGTTTAACTTAAAAAGATATACGTATGTACACATTTACAAATAATTGTTATGCATATGCTAATACTACTATATATTTATGTATGTTCATATGTAAGTATGCATATTAGAATATAGTAAAAACACTAGAATGATAATACGTTAGAAGAAATAATGGCACTCCTTCCATCTTTCTCGTAAAAAAGTGCTCATTACTAAAATAAAAATCATATATGTAGGTACCTGCCGTTATTCTCTCTAATGTATTATTATACTGTGATAAAATATGTAACATTGATAAACAGACATTCTTCAGCGATCTATGTACATTTTAATGTTATTAAATTTTTTGACTGTTGCGTTATACTTATAAAAAATATTTATGAAACAATACCAAAAACTAATCGAAGCTACATATTCATATATTATATAGAAACATCTGCATTGTGTTTTTGTAATTTTATACTTATACAATTTCTGTGAACTAATAAAGTATGTTTTGTAATTATGCAGTGCATGAGTT